CCGCCTTGTGTCCCTCCCCTGGCTCTGTCACTGTCACCCCCCCCTCACGCGTGTCCCCCCTGTCACTGTCACACCCCTTGGTGTCCCCCCATTCTCTGTCACCCCAATAAATGTCCCTCCCGCTGTGTCACTGTCTGTCCTCACTCTGTCCCCACCAGAGCCCCTCATTCATGTCCCCAAATCTGTCACCCCCCCCACTCAGTGACCCCCAACTTGTCACCTCCTCCAGTGTCCCCATTTCCCTCATCCTGGGGGAGGTGACAAGGGACAACCCCCAGGGAGGGGGGACACGGTGTCACTGCCGCTGCTCGGGGTGTCCCCAGCCCAGGTGACACTGGGGACACTGAGGGTGTCCCCACTGCGGGGAGGTTATGGCCAGCTTGGGGACCCCAAAGTGTCACCCTGGGCCAGCTGGTGGGTTTGGGGACAAATTGTGTGGGTTTGGGGACATGTCACCTGGGGTGGAGTGGGGAAGTGGGGGGACACCTGGAAATGTGGCTGGTCACAGGTGTCCCTTGGCCAGTGGTCAGTTGTGGTGGCCGGTGGCTGGTCACAGTGGCCAGTGTCCCATCATGGTGGCCGGTGGCTGGTCACAGTGGCCAGTGTCCCATCATGGTGGCCGGTGGCTGGTCACAGTGGCCAGTGTCCCATCATGGTGGCCAGTGTCTGGTCATGGTGGCCGCTGTCCCATCATGGTGGCTGGTGGCTGTTTGTGGTGGCCAGTGTCCCTTGTGGTGGCCAGTGGCCCATGCTGGTGGTCTGGTCACGGTGGCCGGTGTCCCCTCGCAGTGTCCCCATCCCTGTGTCCCCTCCCAGTGTCCCCTCCCTGTGTCCCCTCCCAGTGTCCCATCCCGGTGTCCCCTCCCAGTGTCCCATCCTGGTGTCCCCCGTGTCCCTGTCCTGTCCTCATCCCCATGTCCCTATTCCCATCCTTGTATTCCTGTGTCCCTGTCCCCACCCCTGTCCCTGTCCCCATCCCTGGATCTCTGTCCCCATGTCCCCCTGTGTGTCTTTATCCCTGTATCCCTGTGTCCCCATGTCCCTGACCCCGGTGTCCCCATATCCCGGTGTCCCCAACCCCATTGTGCCCGTGTCCCGGTGTCCCTGTACCCCCATATCCCTGTGTCCCCATGTCCCTGACCCCGGTGTCCCCATATCCCGGTGTTCCCTGTGTCCCCATGTCCCTAACCCCAATGTCCCTGTATCCTGGTGTCCCCATATCCCAGTGTCCCTGTATCCCGGTGTCCGTGTGTCCCTGTGTCCTGTTGTCCCCATGTCCTGCTGTCCCTGTGTGCTGGTGTCCCTGTGTGTCTCCCAACGTCCCTGACCCTGCTGTCCCTCACCCCCATGTCCCCTGTGTCCCTTTGTCCCTAACCCCATTGTCTGCAGTGTCCCCATGTCCTGCTGTCCCCGTGTCCTGGTGTCCCTGACCCTGCTGTCCCTGTGTCCCTCTGTCCCCATGTCCTGGTGTCCTTGACCTCGCTGTGTTGCTGTCCCCGTGTCCCTGACCCCGCTGTCCCTCTGTCCCCGTGTCCTCATGTCCCCGTGTCCCTGACCCTGCTGTCCCT